TAAAAAAATTACATGGCATTTTATAATTGATTTGATGAAAATTAGCCTATTTTATGATGCTATGAAATTATCCAACACCTTCGATTTTAGATTTTCATTCGATATATAATGAATTGAAAAAAAATAAATGTCTTTATAATTAAATAAATAGAATAATAGATGATCGGAAAATTTTAATCAATTACAATTCATTTCATATCATATGTTAATTCTTCTATTCATATGGTGAGTTTTAAATGCTTCTCATTATATATATGACTTGAATTTAGCATTTTGAAGAATGTCAAAAAATCTTATCTGTTAAAAATGAGTGCAATATTGAGAGGGAGAGAGAGAGAGAGGGAGAGAATAGAAAAGATAAAAGTAAGATTATACACTTTATCTAACATCTTTCCTTAACTAATAATTTCAGTAAATTAGGAGAGCCATTTCAATGAACATCCTCAAAGATCAGATTATCAATGATACATCTGATAATATCACCTTCTCCAATGTAACTTATTGTCATTACTCTTTACTAACATTTCCTTTCAGCAATGATGTTTATTACCATCATAAAAATATCTGTACAATCAATATGGATTAGATAGATTAATTTATTACATCAAATTAATTGCTAAATGTAAAATTCGAAGATTTTCACTCCAATTTCAAAAGTTTCTCAATTAAGATTTTTCATAGTTTAATTGCCTCTTCAAATATTTACTGTTATCAAAAAAATTTCATTTCATATTTTGCATGTTACAGCAGCAAATTGAATTGTTCAATGGATTATATAAAAAAATTGAAAAATTCTATTTTTGAGTAATGTTATAGAAAAAGATTGTTATATAAAAAGAAAAAATTCACTTCATCATTTAAAAAAAAAAAACAATTTCTGAAATTAATCGATGAGTAGTACTTGAAATGCATTAGCAATATTAAATTTAAAATTTGAAGATAAAAAAATTTCCTACACTTTGTCATGTGTATCCTCTAGTCTATCAGATAACTCAAATCAGCTGTAATTTCTTGCTATTTGGAAATTTTTTTTTCCTTGATATTTATTTGCCTGTCGAAGAGGAAATTGATCATTTTTAAAACTTTGAAATTTATTGTCATACAACATTTGCAGGAAAAAATTTCCATATAAAAATCACAGGAAAATGCGCATATATTTGTTTGGAAAGGAAGCATTTTAAATGAAATTTTTTGAAACAAAAAACTTCAACAAATGAAAGAAACTAATCGAAAGAATTTCTTTTCTAAATGATTAACGAATTACTCTGAAAGCATGAAAAATGAAACTGCATAAATCTGATCCAAAAGCAACTTATAGTTCTTCACTGCTATCTTTTTTAAATCTGGAAAATACATTAAAGCTTTTTGAAAAATTAAAAAAAATAAAATTTCCATTTTTTCTTCACACAAAAAATGCATCCTATGTCCTCTTCAGAACTGCCCATTTTTAAAATCTTTTAAAATATGTATAACTCATATTGTCATTCTCTCACAGAACTATTTTTTCTCTCACAAAACTATTTTTGTTCGGATAGCAGAAAAGAAAAATTTAAATGCAAATTTGAAAAAAAAAAAAACAAGATGTAAATATATAAAAAATTCATTGATGGATACGAAAGTGGTACCCGCAAATATGATCATAAGATAAAGATTGAATTTCGATTGATCAATGGATTTCCGCTAACATTTCATATTTTCCCATATTCATTACTATCATATAAAATGAAGAAGAATAACACAATCAAGCATACTATCACTATTAGCATTACTAGAGAAGCTAGCATTTAAAATATATATATGTCAAATAAAGTAACATTATGCATGAACATTTTTGAAATGAAAAAATAATATAGCATACAAGAAAGCATACTTTTTGGAATACTTCCAATATCAGCTGGAAAAAAAAAACCTTCAAAGAACTGAAAGATTAGATCCAGAAATTTTTGAAATTTCAAGAAAGCAAAAAATTATTTACATTTAAGCTTTGAACAGAAACTTTTTTTTAAGTCGAAATATACGAACAAATTTCCTTTTGAAACATCAGAGAGTGAATTTCAAATTAATTATTATATGTGACAATGATGTATTTGAATATTCTTATCAGGAAGATCGAGAAGTGTCACGAGTTATATCCAATTGCTGTAACTGAGTTTGCAGGAAATCGATCCGACTATCCTTCCAATGAATTTCATACCGTAAACTTTCTATATCTTGCTGAAAAAAAAAAAATAAAAATTATCAAAATCATCGAAATTTTAACAAAATTTATTGAAAATTTTGAATTTGTTCAGATAAAATAGTTTGATTTTCACATAAAATCATACATTAATAGAAATTTTGTTTAGAACTTCAAAATTAAATAAACAAATGGACAAAAGATAGCAATATGCAATAAGCTGTAACGATATTCATATCTATCTTTTCATTGAAACAAATGATTAAATATGTCAATAATTAAAAAGAATAATGTTATATAAAATGATTGATAAACTTTCACAAAAGTGAGTAGCTAAATTCAAAAGTAAAAGCAATATATAAACAATTTAACATAAATTGAAAACAAGAAATAAGTCAAAAAATTCACTAAAATGTATTCGCATAAGAGTAATTTAAAATTTTTTACATAGTAAAGGTGGTATATGGAATGTTAAGCCGAAGAAATGAAATAAATTATTCAACAAAAGAAACGAAAAGGATATGTTGAGTTGTGAAAAGGAAAAGTTTCATGAAATTCAAAAATTTCTTAAAAATTTCGAACATTGTAAATTCTTGCGACATTTAAAAGATGCTGACACAGTTAATTTTTTTTTTGCTAATGGATTAGAAATGTATTTATCTTTAATGAAAATCTGAAAAA